TTGACTGGTTATGAAATGACTTTTTTTGGGACTCAATCGAGTGGTATTTTCATGGGAATTTTTATTTATTGCTGTAGGTTTTTTATGGTAAATAACTGCAGTTCCTTTTCATATGTGGGCACCTGATGTATACGAGGGTTCTCCTACTTTTGTCACAACTTTCTTTTCTATAACACCTAAGATTGTTGTTCTTGCAAATATGTTACGTATGTTTCTTTTTAGCTCTTATGATGCAATATGGCAAACAATCTTCTTTTTTTGCAGTGGGGAACCTTTTGGGTTTGGGATGCTCGAAACGCTTCCGTATTAATACTGTTATTTATTTATTTAGGTGCACTACGTTTTCTATTCTTTTCTGCAGATGTAGCTTCTCTTTTTGTTTGTAAAGGTCTCATAAATATAATGAAATGCTCTGTAAATTGGTGGAACACTTTGCATCAACCTTCTAGTATTAGCCAATTTGGTACATCAATACATCTTTCTATGCTGATACCCATCTTTCTGATGTTTACTAGCTTTTTGTTGTTAACTTTACGCTGCTCGGAAAAACGTTTCCAAGTGGGCCGCACCTTATTATATGGAGGTTGGCCCCGCCCTGCATTTTTGAAAGTGGAAGGTCACTTTTTTTCTTTTTTTTCACTTTCAGTTTCCCACCACCAACCGAAACACGAATGGAGCCATTACAAACAAACTCAACCCAAGCAAAAAAAAAAGAAAAAAAAAAAGCCCAAATCGAGTTTTTTTGTTTTTTTCCAAACAAATGAAAAACATGACATTAAAAAGTTAGGCTACCAGAGTGGCCCGGGCCCACTCGCCCGCCCGGGTGAAAAAGTAATTTAAAAAAAAAAAAAAAAAAAATATTTTTATTTAAATTTTTATTTTAAGTTTGGTAAAGAATTTCGATGTAACCCTGAGGCAAAAGTTGTTCAGTTTATCCAGCGGCCTAGCTCAGTTGGTAAGGCATACAAGTGGCATTCAGGAGGTCTTGGGTTCAATCCCCATTGGCCTTATGTACCTTCCTGGGCATGCTTGGCCGAAGGCTTCTTCTTTAAAGAGAAAATCATTTTTTTCCCCTTTTTTGCAGTGTTTGCTTGGTTTTGACGTATGAGTGCATGTGGATATGGCGATTTGGATGTCCTCGGGCGTCCGGGTCTTCGTACTAACCCTTAGGCTGGCTGAAATGAGGACCCGAGACTTGGTCGCAAGCGGGCATGGGCGAATCCTAAAAGATTGGAGTTCCGGTGTCAAGATCCGGAAATGAGGGGCAAAGTATATACATCGAAATGGGCCTGGATCGGACCTAAATCGGGGAACCAGTGAAGGCGCTAGAACTCGGTTACTAAAAACCGACGAGCTACCGTAGGGATGCATGGCGGGTTTTTGGGTAAAACGCCATGACGAACGGTGTGATTCGGATACTGCTACTACACCGGGGACCGCCACGACAACGCGAGGGGGCGGCCACATGGCAATTCTAGAAGCTGGCTGCGAGCTCTGAGAGGAGCGGCTGCTCCCACCGGGCTAGAAAGGTGGGGCTGCCACATAAGGGGAAGAGAACCAACGGCCGTGGAAGGGCGCGGGAGCCTGTCGGAAATTTCTCGGGGAGCGGTCGGGGGCACGCTCTACTACCGAGCTTGGGAAAATGACGGAGAGGGAACTAAGGCGTCAGACGGTTGAGGCTGAGCTAGAAAAGTGGGCCACTCCCAACCTGCGAGCCTATGAAGGGGCCTCGGCCACGAAAACAAAGCGAGATTTTTTGAGCGGATCAGCCAGGCGAAGATCTGATAAGAAGGGCTGGACAAAACAGTTGGAAAACAAAGACGAGTGCCCCTCCCAACTGACAGAGAGGAAGGGGGGGGTGCGCGAAGGCGAGGGCTGAGGTCCTCCCGACGAGATGAAGGCAGGAAACCAAATCGACATAGGGGGTAGCGGGAGGAAGATGTCAGAGAAACTCAAATGGGGGGCTCCTCGGAAGGGGGGAGGGGCAACGAGTAACGAGGTTTCCCCACGCTTACAGCCGGTGGCAGAAAGGGGGGAGCCGCGGGGGCCGAGGAAGGCAAAGAGTCAGGATACCAGGTTAATTGTTGCTTGCAGCAGTATGGGAGGAACAGGCAGTGTCAGGCACCTGTTGCTGGAAGTAGTGCCTAAAGAACAAGGATCTTACTATATTTTCTTTGTGTCCCTTGCAGTAGGACCCGCCAGGTTGTCCGGTGCTGGCACAGGATCCTAGCCTCGGGAGATAGTGACCTGGTTGCTCACTGTTGTGTGTGAGGCACAGGGACCTGTTTCCTTTAGTAAGTGCGCAAGGAACAGGGGACCTGACTATTTGTTGAATAGAGGTAGGTACTTGATGTTTGCTGTATGTTTGTGGTTCGTTTCTTTCTTTTATCCCGTGTTGTAGGACCTTCCGGAAGGTTCGGGACGGACTGGTACCTGGTCTCTGGAACCGGGTCTTTGCCCCCCGGAATTTGAGCATTTGTTTAGTCGGGTCTCAGAATCAGGTGACTTGTAGCCTCGGGACCTGCTTGCTGTTTTAGTGTTGCGGTTTGTAACGAGTATTGTAGGAATATAAATACGAAAGCCATGTAGGTGACTACTCCGACAGGACGTAGTTGCCTTATGGCACTACGACTACAGGTTTTGGGTTCGTGGACCGAATGGTGGTGTTTTGGGTTCGTGGACCGAATGGTGGTTCTCGGGATTGCGGAAGGAACTGTGGCACCTGTTTTCCTGCTCTGCAGTTTTAATGACTTACCGGTTTTGGTATCTGTCAACTATACCTAGTCCATTGTTGACGCTGTCAACCATGTCTAGTCTATTGTTGACGACGGTGTGATATGTATGTGTAATCAACCTGCTATTGTGCGTGTGAACACTTCTGGAATAGCTAACCGGAGGGAGTGAACACACTATTGTTGTTATGACTTTGGTATGACTTTGTGACGAGTAACGAAGGCCGGGCACGAGTTGGAGCCGGGCAGTGGACTGGAGGTACACCATGTCGAGTGAACCTCGCGAGAATCAAGGATAGGGGAGTGGTGGGGATCGGCGTGGACGACGCGAACCCATCAGATGCTTCGCCTGTGGCGAAGAAGGACATTATGCGAACCAGTGTCGCCTGAAGCCAGGATGGCGTGGAGCGAGAGCTTCTACGTCTTCGGACTCTCGGGGCCATCGCTTGTATTCCCCGAGGAAGCCATACAGGGGATCGAGCTCTGAAGATCGTGAAGTCCAGTCGCAGATGAAGGAGTTCGACAGAAACTTGGAATCGATGCGGGAGTTTATCAAGGCGAGGCAAGCTGCGAAGGAAGAATATTTACGTCGGAAGAACGAGAAGAAAGAACTCGAGATGCGTGAGAGGAAGGCTGTCGAGATGAGAGCGAAGAAGGCAAGGAAGAAAGTTGAGAAGGCGTGATTGGAAAAAGAAAGGGTGGCCGCCATGAAGAAGGATATGGATGTGCATGTGAAGCTTTCGGTAAAAGAGGCCATGAGAGAGGCATGGCGTAACTCGGATCTGCGTGATGCATTGATGGCGGCGAAATTGGTGGAGACAACAAAGGGCAAGAAGAAGGGTTGTTTCACGAGCGACAATGAATTCTCTGACTATGAGTATGTCAGTGATGGAATCGAGGAGATTAGAGAAGGCACGAGGAACTTCTCAATCAACGAGAAGAGGAAGAGGGGGCCGGAGCCTGTGTTTGAAGACAGTCCACCCATGGATCTGCCTCCTAAACGCACACCTAAATGTACACCGAAGCATGGACCTGCCAAGACTTTGAAGTTGACCCCAATCGGGACGCGATCCAAGAAGAAGACCAAGGTTCGGCTATCACTGACTACTAAGGAGAAGATTGCATCCGCGGTGAAAGGGAAGATTCCGGCGAGTATTGGTACTGTAGGCCGTTACAAATTTCGAGAGGCTGTGATGAAGCAGATTAAACATCACGATGCTATTACACTGCAGAACCTGTGTATTGACGCTGGCATCCCGTACAACGCGAAAATCGAGGCCATTTTTTACCTCGCGGATCACGAGGCATACATCGCGTATGGTTCGGAGTGCGAAGAGCCCGAGGACATCAGCGAACCAGCTGATGAAGGCGCAGTCGGTACCTCGGAGAATGTCGACGAAGCAGAAGTCGACGAGAAATGATGCGGCTATGGTATCACTGAGTATTGGAAGCTTTGTGGGATTTTGGTGGACCTTCGTGGTAAGTCGGGGAGGTATGATCGTAGGATCGAGAGGCTGCTGCGTTTGGTAGTAGTACGTTTGTCTATTGCGGGGTGCGTTAGGTGGAATCGAAAATGTGTCGATGCATAGTTGCGTTTGTATGAAACCTTTGGTTCGGGTTTTCTAGACCGTACGAATGTCGTGTATATTGCTGCTTCACCCTTTTGCCTCGCGCAATATGTCGGGAAGACTTGTAGAGATGTGGACACTCGATGGGCTGAGCACCTGTACGCCTGCAAAATAAAGAAGTCTACACACTTTCACAGATGGCTGAATTGTTATGGTGCTTAGAACTACGTGCTAATCCCGGTGGATGTGAGTATAGGGAGGGATTTGAATGACCTGGAATCCGTGTACATTAAACAATGGTCACCCGTCTTGAACACATCAGAATTTTGGAAAAAGGGTAGAGGGAAGTATCGAACTAGGAAGGGTGTGAGGGAGAGGCATTCCTGTAGTGTGAAGACGAATGAAGGGAAGCACATCGTATCCCCTATTCGATTCAGTACTCAGAAACACGGTCCGACATTTGTCAATCTCTGGGATTTTTTGACGAACAACGCAGCACGTGGTAACTTGTCGTTCAAGTTGTTTTGCTCGGGAGGGAATGCTTGGCACACTTCGTGGAAGAGGATCTGTAAAAGGTTTGGCGATAGCAAGATTTTAGTTTATGGTGACATACGATTGTTGAAATTTGCTAAGAAATGTTTTGAAGTTGAAGGGTGCATTGACGTTAAGCATCTCGTGATCATGAAACCTCGTTGTCATGCGCTGAAATCAGTACTACTAGGAATTTTACGAAACCCCAGATCGTTGTCACAGCTGTACTCATGGAGTCTACGGTCGTTACTACGGTTATATAGAGTTATTAAGGATTTTAGCCGAAAATCTACTCGGAAATACCTTCGTCGTTTGGTCCAGAGAGTATGTCGTGACCGATTTAACTTGAGTTTGAGTGCCCAGCTAGTTGTCCGTGTTAAGTTTGATGATATAATTCGTCTGGCGGAACTGAGGAAACTGACGAATGATTTGGTGATGGAATGCGATTTACCGGCTTGTTTCAAGGCGCGCGCACGGAAGAAGATCCGACTGGTCTGGACAAAGAACCAATCAGTCGGGGATTTTTTGCACAATCAGAGGCAGTTTGCCTCTCGAAATGTGCTTACCTGTTGTTGCATGGGTCTGCCTTTCCAGAGAGAGAAAGGTCACGTGTGCTGTCGCCTGAGCACCCTGTGTGAGTCACAACCATTGCTAAAGAATGCGAATAACATACCAATTCGGCGCGTCCAGGATAGGACGAACCTGCTCATGCAGGAAATTCAGTCAGGATTTCAACAGTGGAAGAATTATCACGGACCAATGATCCCGATTGATCGAGAGGAGGTGGCGAAGTGCTTTACCCACTAGGACCGGGATCTGGGTGAGTACTTGACAGTGGATGAAGTTCTGAAGGTTAAGCGCGACTTGGATGGTTTGGTTTGCACACCACTGGACAGGAACCTCGGGGAGACACTAATAATGTGTCCGAAGCTGTATTTTGATGCGATGATGTGTACCTTTGTACTGAATGATGGGTATAGCATTGTAACGATGGGTGAGGATGCAGTCTTAAATGCGATGAGGGAAGAAGTGAGGTCAGCTGGTTTGTCAAGTACGGTGCGATGGGACAATAAGGGACACGTTGGCACTACCTACGTGTTACCTAAGCAGAAAGATGTGTGCAGATTCAGACCAATCTGCCCCACCTTTAGTGAGCCCACAGTCCGAACTGCGAGAGTGGTCGCCAAAGGGCTGAACCATCTTCTGTTTTCATTACCTCGGAACTGGCACTTCAACTTACAACCAGTAGGGCATTTGGTGGGCAGACTGGATTCGGTGAATAAGGCGGTTAGACAAAGACCTAACCTGACTCATGTGTCGTCTTTGTGTTTCGACATTAAAGACATGTTTAGTCGTTTACCGCACGACGACATTTTGGATGCGGTGCATTGGATCACTGAATACCATAAGAGCAAGGGTCGTGACTTTGTCAGAGTCAACAGCAAGGGGAGGGGATGTACTTTCGGTATCACTACCAAAAGGGATCACTGAAGGAAGTTTAGTCTGGATGAGCTGGTTACGTTTGTTAGGATTGAGCTCCGACATACGTACACTTATGCGACTGGCGTGTTGCTGAAACAAGAGGTGGGCATCCCGATGGGTAAGAGCACTAGCCCACCCCTGGTGTGTATCCTATGCGCACACGCTGAGTATCGTTTTCTCAGCAGCCTTGGGAATCTGCGAAGGAATGTGTTCGGTGTATGCTTGGTTGATGATGTGGCGCTGTTTGTGTTTAACGAAGGGATGGATTTGACTAAGGAAATTGGAGGGTGCTTTGTCAAGTGCTACCCCGACAACCTGACTCTCAAGCGTACAGACGACGAGACTGACTGTTTCGACTTTCTCGGTTGCCAAGTTAGGATTGATGACAATGATGAGGTATTCCCATATGTGGGATGCGTACAGATGTCAGAAAACGAGGCCTGCATGTGGAGGAACGATACTTTGGAGTTCCAGTCTGGTAAGTCATATCAATCTTGGGGTTGTAAACGGCAGAAGAGTGCCATTATATCTTGCTACCTGCATCGAATTGATGTTAATACCTCAATTCGTTCAGAAATCCCGATGAGAGTGATCAGCTTGAAGAAGAAGTTGCGGTTGAAAGGATTCACTAAATGTTTTTTTCTCAGAGTTCTGAGGGTTTTCGCTAAGGGGCGAGACGCGTATTGGACAAGTGCTCTGAATATCATCGCGCTCATGTCTGACGAGCTGGACGATTGAAGCCTCTGTGTGCGTTTTTGATATTTTGATTTTTTGTTATTCGTTTTGGTCTTAGAGCTACTGTATCTTTACTTACTTCGTCTGTAGTATGTTGAATGAAGGATGGTCTCCGAGGATAGGGTCCTGTTGCTTGCAGCAGTATGGGAGGACCAGGCAGTGTAAGGCACCTGTTGCTGGAAGTAGTGCCTAAAGAACAAGGATCTGACTATATTTTCTTTGTGTCCCTTGTAGTAGGACCGACCGGGTTGTCCGGTCCTAGCACAGGATCCTGGCCTCGGGAGATAGTGACCTGGTTGCTCACTGTTGTGTGTGAGGCACAGGGACCTGTTGCCTGCAGTAAGTGCGCAAGGAACATGGGACCTGACTATTTGTTGAATAGAGGTAGGTACTTGATGTTTGTTGTATGTTTGTGGTTCGTTTCTTTCTTTTATCCCGTGTTGTAGGACCTTCCGGAAGGTTTAGGACGGACTGGTACCTGGTCTCTAGAACCGGGTCTTTGCCCCCCGGAATTTGAGCATTTGTTTAGTCGGGTCTCGAAGGCAGGTGACTTGAAGCCTCGGGACCTGCTTGTTGTTTTAGTGTTGCGGTTTGTAGTGAGTACTGTAGGAATATAAATACGAAAGCAATGTAGGTGATTACTCCTCTGACAGGACGTAGTTGCCTTATGGCACTACGACTACAGGTTTTGGGTTCGTGGACCGAATGGTGGTGTTTTGGGTTCGTGGACCGAATGGTGGTGAACTGTGGTTCGTGGACTGAATGGTGGTGAACTGTGGTTCATGGACCGAATGTGGTGTTTTGGGTTCGTGGATCGAATGGTGGTTCTTGGGATTGCGGAAGGAACTGTGGCACCTGTTTTCCCTGCTCTGCAGTTTTAATGACTTACCGCTTTTGGTATCTGTCAACTGTACCTAGTCCATTGTTGACGCTGTCAACCATGTCTAGTCTATTGTTGACGATGGTGTGATATGTATGTGTAATCAACCAATCAAAGAGTCAGGATACCAGGTTAACTGTATTTTGAAGGGAAGGGAGCGCTCTCTCTTCTTGATAACCGTTTGCGAGGTGCAGGATCGAAAATTGTTGCAAGTAGCGGGGAGCGGGGAAGCAAGCATGGTGCAGGGAGGTCGAGGATTGGGCATTGGCGGAGAAGCAAGATCCTGTCTCTTATACACATCTAGATGTGTATAAGAGACAGGTGCAGGGAGGTCGAGGATTGGGCATTGGCGGAGAAGCAAGATCGGCTACGTGTTTTCTTGGTTGCCTCAGGAGAGGACGGGCGTTGTCATCCCTGTGGTAGGTGGGGGGGCAAAAAGGGATGAATCCGAACCAAAAACGGGTCCGCGTACGAAATTGTCTGGTCGGTAAGACGCCCCCGTATCGAAGGAAGTGGCAGTCGAAAGCGGGGAAACGCGCTGGACGGTCGGGTGAGAGGAAGAACGCGCAAAAGCGAGCGGGAAGGGAACGGAAATTCTCCGAAAATTTGGTGAAGAATGGTGGGAAATCGAAGATTTCGAAGGAAACCAGGAAGAGTTAGATGGTAAGACAGAGGATTGGAGGAGCAGGTGGGGAGTGGGGATCGAAGAAAGTCAACAGGGAAGTATAAAGGAAGGGAAGGAGAAGGAGAGAGGATGCCGCGGGGAGGAAATAAGTCCAGGCGCTTGCTCGTACTCTCCGGCGTTCGATCGGAGAACGCCCTCGCGCAGCTGAGGGGGGAGCGTACGTCAGGTGATGTTGCTCATAGCGCATGGGAATAGCGTCCATATGCTCGTGCTCCTGGTAGAGAGCAAACAGGTTCGTGCGTCCGAGTCGACGCGCATCTGAGCAGGGTGGGTTCTTGAACCTCGAGATCTGAGAGAACGGTGGTATCGTGAAGGCGTTCGGAACGAAAAGGGGGAGAGAGGGCGAGGGTGCGCGGCGCCGGGTGAAGGAGGCACCAGCGAGCAGGCGGCTCGCAATTCGGGCCACAAGGGCTCGACGCGCGAGGCAGAGAAGCCTTTGATGCTAAGAGTCATGTAGCGAGTGGGCTATTGCATTCGACCGCGAACGCAGCCCACGAGGCAGAGAAGCCAACGGCGAGAGGGAGTCGTTGTGAGAGGATACTGCATGCCACCAAGAACGGGTCAGATGAGGAAGGAAGGTCATCGATTCGCGCGAGGTCGAGGATGCGTCGCAAGCCGACGCGAACGTGGTTGAGAGCGTCGCAGGGTGCACGGAGAGAGGAAACTGTTAGCTGAAAGGGGAGGGGTAAGCTCTACATCTTGCCGCGTAAGGCAGCGGGGCTGGTCCTGGCTCGGGGACTCGTTGTGAGAAAGATTGAGTGCCCGTGCGAGTCCGGCGCTCGGGTTGGAGAGGCCGTTGAGAGCTCACTGCCAGAGGGCATTGCTGCCTGGGCAAGTCCGGAATGCGACCGCGGCTCCCGCATGCACACTGAAGGAG